ATATAGAGCAGGTCTAGACTGTACTCCTTATATTTCCACCATGAGCACTTGGTGGCATTACATATATTTGTAAAATATGTGATGAATGGTTTTAATTGATCCCATCTACAGCACCACTGGTCTCTGATTTCAAAAAGAATTAAAAATATGTAGAATTAACCACTTTATTCAATGTTGTCTTGTGTGAAGTCTCTGGACATACAATGCAGATCAAGGAAGTAGAGCTTCTCCTTTCTAAGGAAAATTGAGTTATCAGCTCTCTCATTTCAAGACATTTTTTAGTCTAGAAATGATAAAACACAGGCTTATATGGCAACACTCCTCCCATCAATCTTTCATTTTAGACACAAATCCTCCTTTTGTCTCTCTCTCTCTCTCTCTCTCTCTCTGTTCCCATGTGTTGCATCCTCTCTCACACAAACCAAACCAATTCATGTCAAAGCTGGTTGGCGGTGTAGTTGTGGTTCTTTGGAAGATTGACTCAGTGCTTGATCCTTAGTTTGTCAAACAAATAGACTTTAAAACAAACACCAGTCCTCCCCCACAGGTTTTCTCTAGCATGAAACAAATCAGAAAGACAAATGCAAAGACACACCTTCAGCAGTGCAAAATTACACCCAGAGACACAACCACATCCTGCTTTTTGTGGAAAACTAACCCTAACTCCCCATAGACAGACACAGGTGAGCAAGCATACACATGCACACATGTATTTGCTATGTATGTGTATACCCTATCTTACATGTGACAAAGGAACCATCAGGGACTTGTTCCTCCTCATGTAAGGGTTGGGCAGTGGGTAGCAGAAGGAGATGAAAGTGATGATTTGTGGCTAAGACAGGCTTTGATGATGAAACCTCCACTGTGAAGCAGTAATTATTAGACTGTATTGCTCTCTGTGGTCTTCATATCCTCTTATAATTACAACATAACATACTGCATAGTGGACCCTCTGTTACTGCCGTAATATTCTTTAAGACACACTGCCACAGGGACTGATGCTCTGAAATGGGCTTGTAAAGACTTGAGTTAATGATTGATTTTCTCTCTTCTACTCTTTGGTTTTCTCATTTTCACTCCCTTCTTGTCATTCTGTCTTACAATTGTCCTTCTTTCTTTATCCACTTCTAACAATCTTCTTTTTGATCTTCTCTTTCCTCTCTCCTCTGACCTCCCTTCTGCATCCTCCTACTCATGACCATCCCCACCTTTCTTAATTACTTCATTTTTCTCATGCTTTCATTCTTCCTACTCTCCATCTTTCTTCTTTCTACTTTCTTCGTCATCTCTGATATCATTGTCATCACCTCTACCTTTGCTTGATCTTCTCTTCTTTTTTTTCTACTTTCTTCAACACAGGTCCAGAGTACATCTTGGATGCCACATCAACAGTATGTTATGCAACCAACGGTAGGTTTTTGAACCAGCCTCTCCTTTGTTTTTTGTGTAATATATTATCTTTTCCCAGTGGAGTAATTTTCTTCATTTTCCAAAACTTTTCACCGCCTCTTTCTTACACTATATTCCTGCCTGTCATCACTGCATGTAATATGTCTCAGCATTTACTCCTCATGCACTTCTTAGTCTGGTAATCTCAAAACATTTGAGATTCTTCACAGTAATGCTTATTTGAAAAAGTTTGATAAGTAATGTCAACGTATGTCAAATTGGCTGCCAGAAGATTTATTAACAAAAACTACAAAGTCATTCATCTTAGAGACCTTAGGTCTTGTATGTGCTATAATGCTGGCTATAATTGCTTTGTAACATAATTTTCCCCCTTTTATCTCATATATCAGTGCAAATGATGGATTAAGTCACTGAAAATTTGCAATAAGCCAAGTAATAAAAGAAAAATGACACACAGTTTCCAACAATTGCAGCATATGAGAGCCAAACCCAAGTTATACCAGGAAAAAAGACGTTATCCCTGCATCTGAGTCCTACCCTGCTGAATCAGCTTGAGAATAGCCTCCTTAAAGCAGCTCGAAGAGCTCAGCAGAGCACAGTCTGAAATCCATAATAAAAGGTTGCTCCCTGCTGGCTTGAAATACAACTGCAGGTAGTAATTTGACTTCCACAAGTGTAGTGGTAAACAGAATGCTGATATTAAAGTCAGTGCTGACTAGTTACTGATATGATATCTGTATGGTGATACATACATATGCAAAAACCTACCTACATGTACAAGATAAAGTATAATAGTCTACAGTAATATAAAAGTCTATGGTTCATGTCTGGCTGGAGACCTAACCCCTGAATGATTTAAATTGTCTGTTTGTCTGAGCCCCCCCCCCCAATATCTTTACACATATAACCATGTAATATTGACTGTAAAATGCACTAAAGGTATACAGTCAATATGCACTTTAAATCTACACTTACCTGCAGATTCTCTTTCTTCTCCTCTTATACTCTGTCACACACAGACACAACCTTGACACAAAAAGCTTTGCTTTTCTTTTAGCCAGGGGCTGTATACAGCTATAGTAACAGGAGATTGAACCTTGAGCCTCTACAGGCTTTGCTCAGAGCTTAATTTAAAGCCTCAGCTGTTGCCCTGTCTGCCTGACATACCAGTAACTACTCTAACATATACTATCAAATCTCGAAACCTTCATCCAGAAGCCGGGACCTGTCTTTAATTGTTGGAATAATTGAGGTACATTGGTACCATGTCTGGCACAAGAAAGCCGTTCAACCTCATTCACTAGTTGATTTCTCAATACAGCAGTTCCAATAGATGATGATATGATGAATATAATTCATGTTGGGGTCACACAACAACCTTGAAAGTGCTTCAGATGAAAATATGCCTTTATTAGCTCTTTAACATTTATCTATCAGTAGGTCACAGTTCCACTCTGCTCATGTACAGTGTGCGTTAATCATTTTAAACTCAGAAAAAAACACATTAAACTTGCTTGTAAAACATTAATTAAATCTTTGTACCCATGGGTTTTAATCACACCTGTTCTTAAAAAAATGGGTTCATATGAGGGGGAAAGAAATTAACATCACTGTAAAGAACAAACAACAGTCAGTGATCATGGCTGGCAAAAGCCTTCAGACATGCCACATTACCTATACAGCCATGACATCCCATGATGACACTGTATCCTCCAGGGTGTTTTTGTAATGGAAGAAGATTTCCTTATTATAAGATTAAATAAAGTTGGCTTCTCTTACAAAAAGACAATATTCAAGACAGATTTTATCTGTGTGCAAGTGTTAATGAGTTGATGCCTTGCCAACATCTGCAGACTATTTTACACCTGCAAAATTCAGTTATGCTCAATTAAAAGTGTCAGCTGTATTGATATGAGAAATAGGGGCAGCACAGATATGGCATATAAGCCACAAACTGAGGGATTCCAGCAAATACCGTCACACAAATAGTTAAACTAGTCCAAATTCTGTTGCTCCCCCTTAGTTCTCTCTTTCTATCTGTCTTCCACTTTGTCTCTATCTGCCAACTCCTAAAAACATTCTGTTGTCATGTCTGATTAAAATTATGTTTGTGAGAGAGGATAATACCCTTCTGTAAATGTGTTTTCAAACAAATGTCCCGTCTAATTATTTGGCAGGCGGCTTGATAGGACTTCGTAAGACTTGGGAGAAGCGGAGAGAGAATAAGGGACTGAAGAAAGAGAAAATAAATAAATAATAGAGCCATGTGTATGACAGAGAGAGGACAGGGGAAAGAGGCAGGCGCAGGGAAAGGAGAGGAAAGAAGGGATTACAAAGAATCAATCGGGAACAAAGAAAAGAAAACAACTGCTGCAAAAGCATGTCTGGGCTGTGCGCGGCTGTTCCCCAGCCTTGTCTCTGCATAGACAAAATCCCTGTTAGACAACAAAGGCGAAGGCTAGTCATTGTATTTCCTGGATACAGAAGAGCTTGGCAAATTAAAGCTGCGACGGGGAGGGAGACTGAAAGAGACACAGCGGCTTAATTCTGTTCCTATGGTAGCAGAAGCTTCCTCACTGCTGAACCAAAGTTAATGACTGGTAACTTTGATTGATGGTGTGTGCTCATTGACACATTTAGGTTGCTGCACACAAGCACGTATCTGCTGATCACTCAGTCAACAGTTGAACTGATACCAAAATTGAGAGGTTGCTGTTTGGATCGCTGACAAATGCTCATAGTTTTACAGTTGCACACTGTAGACACATGGTGCCTTAAGAAGTTAATGACTCTAATTAAAAGGTTAGACTGAGAAATAAAAACAGTGCTAAGTGCTGTTTTTGTTCCCTAGGAAGGTCACACAACTATATTTACACACACACACAGACACAAGCATAAGTATGCACTTTCTCAAATTAATTCTGATGCGCACACACACACACACACACAAGCATACCTATACACAAAGTGGAGTGCCTTAAGGACTATGTGTTTCAGAGCCTTGGTGGAATGCCCAGATTACTTGAACTCCCTGTCTTTACATCCTAATTAGTGAGAGGATGTCTTTGTGCATAATTACTCACAAATCCCCCTACAGGAAATGAATGCATTACCCTAACCATGCATAGCAAGAAAGACAAGGAAAGGCAGCTTACTGGGGAGGGCTGTAATGAGACATCCAAAGTATTGGGATTTCAGATCTTCCTGAGTTAAATTGCCATGTTAAACTCATTTTTGGAGACAAAAGGGGTGAAGAATGTGTCAGGAGAAAGCACAGATCAGTACATATCTGAGCCTCCAATACTGTACTTTTTTTATGCTGGGATCCTGTGTGTGCCTGTAACTTTGCAGAACCCATGCGTGCATGTTGGTGCATGTTTAGAGTTTAGAACCCAGCATTACCTGTATTTTTACTTCATGTAACCTGTAACATCGTATTTGTTTCAGAAGGTGAAAAGGTAGTTTCAGCAGAGAAAATCATTTTGTAGAATAATACAAGCATTTGTATTCTCAGACCATGCCACCTAAACATACAGAACATACAATGCCGGATCGTGGCTTTTGCATGCTCACACGCACAGAGCTCCTGTGACACCAGCAGCAGTCAGTGGTTTTCTTATTAAATGGATGTCATTATCACTAATACTATGTATTTGATGCTGCACGGTGCCTGTAGCATTCTGCTTGTCAGCTTCACTTCTCTACTGGAAAAATGACAGCAAAAGAAGAGTTTGGAGGAGAGAAAGAGCGAGTTCAAAGTTGAAGCAGATCTTGTATTTTTCTCTTGCTCCTGTCCTCAGGGAAAAGATAACTGTCTGTCTTGCACACTCAATTATTGCTTACCCAAGGAAAAGAACGTCTTCCACAGAAAGAAACATTAACACATACACTCACTCTGCAGCATGCACACTTATCACACACCAGCTAATGCATAGTGTCCACATGCAGACACACACAGAGATAGCAAGTTTAACATTTGTACAGCTATGAATCAGAGCAGACAATTAGTCATTGTGGGTTTCCTTTTGCTTCATGCAGCTTTCTTTCTGCATGGAAGCCTGCTGTGAGATTGGATGAAGGGAGAGAAAGAGCAGGGGAGGATGAGAAATCATTAAACGAGAGAACGTATTATATAGATGGATGAAAAGCTTGGGTATTAGCTAGATTCTGGCTGCTAAATCTACCTGCCGGAGCCAAGGCTTTGTGCAGGTTTGTGGGTAGATCTGTTGATACATCTGTGTGTGGATGCCTTTGAGTGTGTGTGTATATATACGGCATGTGAGTAAGCGTGCGTGTGTGTAGAAAAGTGCCAGTCATTCACTTGTGATGTTGAGGACATTGTTGACAGAGCATTTCTGATAGCCAGGCAGCTGCATTCTTCAAACAGATCTCCCTGTGAAGACAGCAGTCAGGATGAGGAGCACTCACTACTGTTAACAGCTCTGACAATCCCTGTCTGTACTGTGAGGTTGAGTGTGTGTGTGTGTGTGTGTGTGCCTGCCTCCTTGTGAAGCTTGCAGACATCACTAGTAGATTTGCAACTGTGGACACATTTCTGACAGACTGTATGTGCCTTCGAGAGGAACGCTTCACATATAAATTTCATTACTGTGTGTGTGTTTACCTATGTGCGTTTGTACAGTTGTGAGCCTCCCATATGAAACCCTACGGTTACAGAGCTGATAAGACGACTGCCATACAGCTGGGCTTGTGCCTAAAATATCTAAACTTAATACCTGTGTTCTTCTAACATCCTGTCTCAGCGTGCAGCTACAGAAGTGCTGACTGCTCTCCGGAGCGATACTGACACATATCCGCTGATGCTGTCTGTGCTCATGGGAAGTGTAGTTAAACAGCTATCACAAATGAACAGTGTTTACCTCTGCAGGGAAGTTGCCAGGCATCTCAGCACACAGTGTGTGGCGTCTCCTATTAAATCTATACAGAGCTGTTGAGTCTGTAGCAGAGCTGTACTGGAAAAGTAGAGCTCAGTGCATCAAGGTGTTAGGAGGCATCAAAGCCCTTCACATTGAAGAGATTTACAGTAAAAGCCTTTCTGCTCCACTCAGAGGCATGTTCTGTCAAGCCTGCCTGGCAAGCCACTGACTGACTGCAAAGTCAAACCATTTGCAGTCATCAAACTTAACTGGGTTGGAAGTATTTCTGCTACTTACATATTTCTACTATCTGAATGTCTTTAACAAATGTCTTGTTTAGCTGTATAGCATAAAAAAACCTAATCGTTCCCCATTTTTTCCCCCCAAAGTTACAGTAAATATGAAGCTACAGTGCTAGGGGGGAACAAGTAGTCTTTATTTGCCACAAGTAAAAGAAATATGCCTAGCACCCCCTCCAAAGCTCACAAATAACAGTTCATATCTCATTTGTTCAGTTACTTTCTTCAGTGGATCGCTATGCCCGGCTACATCCACACATAATCCTCCATTTTGTACAAATTAAATAAATTAAATAAAAAAGACAATGCATTAGTGAGGTTTTAGAGGTGCTCCTAATATAGGTGGATTTTACCTGTAAAGAGATAAAAGGCTAGCTGTGTGCTGTTGCTTCCAGTCCTTAGGCTAAGTTAACTGTGTCCTTTCTGAAGATTCATGTTTAGGACTCAGAGCAAAGAGTGCTATCAATCTTTAAATAAGGGTATTTCCCAAAATGGTAAATGGACCTGTACTTGTTCTTTCTAGTCTTCCGACCGCTCAA